GCTGAAGGAAATAAAAATTGTTATAGCTGCTTTGGAAAAACAGGCAATAGTCCTAGTTGGAGGAATCTATTTTAAGCAATAAAATCACAGTATTATACACACAGATATGTATTTAATTAACTGCAGTATTGCTTGTAGAAGCAGAGGAGTGGAACCAAAGTGAACATTCAATAATTGAATGGTTGAATAATTAGCTATTTATGCATTCCATGGAATATAACACAGCTGCAATAAATAAGGCATTGATCTATTCCTGTTAACATGGAGTGAATTCCATGAAAAACAAGATGTGGATAAAATCCCTATATATGTAAATACATTTTATTTACATATGAATAAAGGTATGAAAAGAAACATACCTGTCTGGTATGATAGCGTATGCCACAGGAGAAAGCATGGGTGGGATAGGAGTTGGAGGGAGGTGATGGCATTAGGAAAGACAAAGATAAGGGGAAAATGTGACTATTAGAAATAAAAGAAAGATGTCTATGATATAAATAGAACTTCTTCATGTGAAATTATGATTTTGTTTTTGTACTTCTGCATAGAGAAATGTATGAAGGTATGACTACCAAAATAGCAATCATGATCATTTCTGGGTGGTAGGATTTCAGGCGACTTGTATGTTCATCCTAATTTTTCTGTATTGCTTATATTTTTAATAATGAAAATGAATTTTTATATAATCAAAGCATTATGACTTTTTATTCTGGAAAAAATTATGTGCTAGTGTAAGCTTACCTTTAAAAAAGAAACCCTGAAATATAGCTGTATGAGATCTATTTTTTATTTCTTTTCTGTATTTTTATTTTTCATCTTTTTATTTTTCCTCTCTTTCCATTTAGAGCAATATTTGCAGTGTAACATTTGCAAAAGACCTTGCTTTAAACTTTTATTTCTCTTTCCCATTTAGGTAAAACATTGATTTCTGTCCCCCTCACATGCTAGGAAAAGTGTGAGTTAAAATATCAGCTAGCAGGTCACCTGGGTGGCTGTCAGTTGAGCATCCAACTCTTGATTTTGGCTCAGGTCATGATCTCATGGTTCATGGGATTGAGCATCGCATCAGGCTCTGCGCTGACAGTGTGGAGCCTGCTTGGGAGTCTCTCTCTCCCTCTCTCTCTCTCTCTCTCTCTCTCTCCCCCTCTCTCTCCCCCTCTCTCTCCCCTGCCCCCTCTCACTTGCATGCGTGCTCTCCCTCTCTCTCAAGATAAATAAACATTAAAAATAAAATAAAATATAGTCAGGTTAGAGCTATGTTAAAATATAGCTATGGTTAGAGAAGCTACCATTGTAATACAAGAAGTACTACAGTCCATCTATGAATTTGAAGTGAGAGAAACGGAGATGGGGGGCAAGAGGGAGAAGCTGAACAGCTTTCCAACTCCTGAAAAATTAATTCTTCACAGTGTAATGAATTTTTATTTTCTGTTAAGTGTTTTGAATCCTCAGGAGGTCCAACCAGGTATATTTAAAATAACTCAAAAGAATTTCCTAATCTAAATATGTTATCATTAGATGGTGTATACTTCTGTATTTTCATAGAAAATCAAGAATTAAGTTCTTAGAAACTTTTTTTTCTGTCAGTAGATTCTTATATGTCAATATAAGCTGTCAATAGCTGTCAACAGCTTATATAGCTGTTATAGCTTATAGCTGTCAATAGCTATATGCTATAATACCCTTATTTATGAGAAAATGAAGTATTACATTTAAGTTTTAGTTATTTACAAAACTCACTTATCCACCTCAACAAAATGTCTAAATTTTAACCATTTTTGATGTGAATCTTATGAACTATATTAGACACTTGTGGTTTTAGATGTGATGAGTTAGTATGTAAGAATGTACTTTTTTTGGAATGACACAGCACTACTAAGTGTAGACAGATCATCTAAAAATATGTGGTGGGGATAACTTTTATAGATAGATTAAAAGTTTGCTTTTGCCTGCCAAAGCTTTTTAAATTTTCCTTTACTCTAGTGGTAAAAAGTAATTGTTTAATAAAATGTCATTATTTCCTTCAGAATATTACAGAAGAGATTAAGGTCTAATTACTTGATTACTTGTGTTGAACATTTTAAAGATAACATTTATGTTATGTTGCTAGGTTATTCTTATTTTCTTTTCTTTTGTGTTTACTCAGATTCGTTCAATTGAAGGCCAGTATGGCACACTTCAAGCATATGTGACTCCAAGGATTCAACCCAAAACCTGTCAGGTCCGCCAATACCTTATCAAACCCCTTTCACTCCATCAAAGAACTCACTTTATTGATCATGACAGGTAGGACAAAGGAGGGAGCAGTTTATTTTTTAGCATATTACATGATACAGATAAACTTGCTTTTCACTTTATAGTATAAATCTGGTAGCTATTTGTACATTTTAAAAATTAAATATTTAAACACTGTGGATTCATATTTTTTAATATAAGATTTGTCTTCTTTTAAAGGCTGATTTGAGTTGGATTTTCCTATTTTCCTATTTTCTCATATATTACCATTCTGATCTCAGTAGAGTAACAGTTCTCTCTCCCAAATACCTGTTGTGAATAAATATTGTTTAGCATTTGAGTTCTCTGTGAACAGGATCTTATTATAATATTAACCTCAAAGGTTATATTTCCTTTCTCTTTCACCTCAGGGAATATTGGCAAATCAATTGGTTGTGATAGTCCCTGTTATTTCTGAGTTCCAGTCCAACTTAAGCATCTTCCTGTTGGTAGTTTTTCGCTTTCTTTCCTGAGATGAGAGACCATGAGTTAAATGAAGGAGAAGGGAAAGAAATGAACAGTTACTGAATATTTTCCCTCTGCTGTATGTTGTACTAGATGCTTATGCATTGTCATTTAAGCCTTACAGCAAGCAAGACAGGTAGTAAGTAATGTCCCCATTTTACAAATGAGAAATAGAGACTTGGAAAAGTAAGTAACTTGCTGATACAGGAAACAGTTATGATTGGAGGCTTAATTGAATATTAAAGCACAGATATAGGTAAGCATTCCTTTTTTTCCATGAGATTGAAAATTTTATTTATCTTATGGTTAATATTAATCTGAAGAAAATTTAATAGATACTTTTATATTTGTTTAACTACTATTGCAAAATTCTGTTCATGTGTTGTATACATATAATACCTCCATGTATTCCTACACACAAATGTGTACCTCCACTATTAAATTACAGACCCATGAATACACTGACTTTAACAGGCCAGTTCAGTTTTGCTGAAGTTCACTCCTGGGTGGTTTTTTGCCTGCCTGAAGTCCCTGAGAAACCTCCAGCAGGAGAATGTGTGACATTTTATTTTCAGAACACCTTCCTGGATACACAACTTGAAAGTACCTACAGGTAAATAAAACTTATTACTGGTTCAGGAATGTTTTTATGTAAATAGAGCTTCTAAATCCTATTTCCAACAATAACCAGTTAGAAAATAAATTATTTGAATGATTTGAAAAGACCCTATCAGAGTAGCAATAACAATAACAAAATATCCATATAAGATCTGCAGAAATATCTATTAGAAATATGCAGAACTTACATGAAGAAAACTTTAAAATTTTATTGACATAAAAGAGTTGATTAAATGGAGTAATATATTCAGTAGTCATCAATATGAAGACATAAACATGGCAGTACTTCCCCAAATTGATTCATTTATTCTAGTTTCAGTAAAAATTCCATTGAATTTCTTTAGGCAAAAATAGAATATGGCTCAGAACTTGAGAGTTTAGAACAGTACAGGGTTTTGAAGCTATCATATTAAGGGTAGAGGTCATATTCTACACTCTTCTCAAGCTCCCAGTTGCACTCCTGCCCCTTTACTGTCACTGCTCATTCATTTCCAATAGGCTTCTATAATTTGTTTCTGAATATAGTAGAGGCTACATTTTCCTTCTCTTTTGTTCCTGTCTCTTGAATGTGAAATGACCTATTTCTTGGGTAAGGCTGATTTCTCTACATCTTCTCTTTGAGCTTATACCTGTCTCTCTGTCTAGGATTCTCTCCCTAAGCAGATTATTGAGGTATTCTACTTCTTGCTTCCTAGCTGAGACTTTACCATGCTAAATTCTGGAAATAGGAGTGAACACATAATTTTACCTCAGAATACAGCCTTTTGGGACCAAGAAGTATCCAGCAGTATAGCTGGTTTTGTTTTGTTTTTGCATCAGTTCTGTTGAGGTTTTACTTTGCCCTCCAAGGGATCTTACATGTGTCTAAACCTGTAATAATGACTCCTGTTCTGAAGTACCACAGTAAACCTCACACTTTAATCAGAACAGACAATTCAACATGCCCCTGGCATATTCTGTATTATTAGAATAGCATACCTTTGTATTTTCCCATTCTGTGCCCTTAAATATTCTTTCCTTAACAATCAAAACTCTACTTATCCTTCAAGGCTCAACTCAGTTGCTGTATTTTGAAGCCTTCCTTGAGGGGTGCCTGGGTGGCTCAGTTGGTTAAGTGTCCGACTTCAGCTCAGGTCATGATCTCGCAGTCCGTGAGTTCAAGCCCCGTGTCGGGCTCTGTGCTGACCGCTCGGAGCCTGGAGCCTGTTTCAGATTCTGTGTCTCCCTCTCTCTCTGACCCTCCCCCGTTCATTCTCTGTCTCTCTCTGTCTCAAAAAATAAATAAACGTTAAAAAAAATTTTATAAAAAAAAGAAGCCTTCCTTGAGATTCTCTTTTCTGTTCCCATAGTATTTTATTCTTACCTGTCTTAGGTATTTATTGTTATTTGTTTGAAGTATATAATAATTTTTATGTAAACTTGTTTCTTCAAATTAGACTTTAAGCTCTTCATGGGCAGAGTCAATTTCTTAATTATCTTTGTATGTTTCCTCCAAGTACCTACCACATGGCTTTGCTCAATGTTTTTTGGGTGCCTAAATAAAATACATTTATGTGGAGAAAGTATAGAAGCATGTGCTTTGGAGGCAAACATACTTAGGTTTGAATCATGGCTCTGTGACTCACCAACTATTTGGCCTACCCGGATTATTTAACTCTCTGAGCTTCAGTTTTCTTTTTTGGGGGTCGGAAATAATAGCACTTTGTTGAGCTGTGATGATTAAAAGAAGATAAACCATGTGAGTCATTCTACAGTGCCAGGTACTGTTAAGTGTTTAAAATTAAATATCATCAGTTAAAATTAAATACTAGTGAAAATATCATGATTTTTAAAACATAATTGAAATCAATATAGTATGTAGGATTCACCTTTCTAGAAAAAAGAATTAGCATTTGTCTACAACTAGTAAATATAAACCATTGGTGTGTGTGAAAACCAAATAAAAAGACAGCATTTAATACATGAAAGGTGGTATATGTATTAATTAGGAAATTTGATTATGATAAGAAGGAACCAAATACAAGAAGACTTAACCAAATAAAAAGAATTTATTAGCTCATATAACTTAAAAGTCTAGTAGTAATCTGCCTCAGGCAGAACAGGATTCCTGGCTTACCTGATATCATCAAAACTGTCTCTTTCCATTGTTCAGCTCTGTTTTTGTCTTTTTTTTGGCTTTTCAAATAAGTGCCATGTGGCTACCAGCAATTCCATCCAGTTTTCTATCTTTTCATCTATCCTAGAGCCTCTCTTTCTGAATAGTTCCAAATAAAAGCCCCAGGATTGAGTGTCAGTGTAAAGCCATGAGGTTGGAATACACTGCTAAATGCTTCCTTCGAAAGTCCCACAAATGGGGATGAGGCCAGTGCCAGTGAGACTACAGTTGACCCTCAAGCAACACAGGTTTAAACTGCATGGGACCACTTATACATGGATTTTTTTTTAATATATATATAAATACAGTACAGTATGGTAGATGTATTTTCTCTAATGATTTTCTTAGTAACATTTTCTTTTTTCTTATTTTACTTTAAGAATACAGTATATAATACATATAACATACAAAATATGTGTTGATGGACTGTTTATATTATTGGTAAGTCTTCTGGTCAGCTAGTTAAGTTTTTGAGCCAAAAGTTCTGTGAGGATTTTTGAGTGTGCAGGGGTTCAGCACCTCAACCCCCACATTGTTCAAGGGTCAACTATATATGGATTGAGAAAGGTAAGAGAACAAAGAAATGGTTCTGTAAAGAAGATGAAGAGTCCTCTGTGCATAATAAGTGGCAATAAATGATGGGCATGGAAGAATGAAAGATATTACTCTTAGGTTTAATATCAGCTTTCTTTTGAGAACGAAGAATGTAGTCATGTTGTGATTTGTGTGATTACATCAAAGAAAATCATGTAAATAAGCAATTATAAATGCATTTTATATACATATGGGGTTAGTTGTTGGAAATTTTATTAGTGAAAGTAAAGAAAGATGCTTTAAGGAAGAACTTACAGGTAATTGTCATGTTTAAGAGGCATATATCTAACATCTTGTTTAGTTTCACAATTATGTTCAGAACTTGAATTTAATAATAAAAGTTTACACACTTAAATATGCTTTATATTAATAATGTGATATGTATATAAAGAGATCTAAAATCAAATGAATTTTAAAAACCAGCTCCTAGTCACAAAATATGTATTCACTGGACCTAATTACTATATTTTCTTCTAAAGCTGTTCTTTTAAAAATATATTAATTTTATAGGAAAGGAGAAGGAGTTTTTAAATCTGACAACATTTCTACTATATCAATCCTAAAAGATGTGCTCTCTAAAGAAGCTACAAAAAGGAAAATTAACCTCAACATATCGTATGGTAAAAAAAAAAAAAAAAAAAAAGAAAAAATGAATTATTTTGGAGGGGTATTTTTGTTAACAGTAACAATGTTTCTGATCAAAGTGACTTACCTAATTGTGTCTGGATCAACTTCTTCTAGAGATAAATGAAGTATCAGTCAAACACACTTTAAAGCTAATCCACCCAAAGCTGGAATACCAGTTGCTTTTGGCTAAGAAAGTGCAATTAATTGATGCTTTAAAAGTAAGTATGTATTTCGTGGATTCACAGTCATTGTTTTATTGTGATGGGATTTCTAACATTGTAAAGACTTTAAAGTTACACTGGATTGAATTTGGAACATTAAAGTGCTTCTGTTTTTAATTTTAAATAAGGAATTGCAGGTTCATGAAGGAAATACAAACTTTCTGATACCAGAATATCGCTGTATTCTAGAAGAGGCAGATCACCTACAGGAAGAATACAAAAAGCAACCTGCACATCTGGAAAGACTCTATGGTTAGTGAACTATTCTAGAAAACCTTGCCATATTCCTTTCCTACTGTTTACGAAGGATCATGTGAGAGAAAATGGGCAGAAAGATAAGCAAAGATTACAGCATTCATGAACCAGTGACAACTAGTTTATTGCATAAATTTTTTGTCAAATTAGTTTTCGTATTTAATATTTTTACTGGGTAGAATGAAAGTAAAAAAGTGAAATAGGTATAATGCAGTAAATTAATTTCTGTATATGAAGAAACCCGGTGTGAAGTGAATATAACCTATGAAGCATTAAAATGTAGGCTGTATTTCACACAAATAATTTTCAGGTTTTGTTGATACTATGAACTATACTATAAAATGCAGCATTTAGTATTTTTTTGGCAAAATGTAATAAATGATACATTGTGCTATAAATTTATAGTTCAAAACTCTTTTTGCTTTGGTGGTGACATGTTGGATGTTTCACAAATTGTCTTGAAAAACAGTGAGAGCAAGAGGGAGATGTGAAGGAAAGGACAGAAAGAGGAAGAATGGAACAGCTTAAGGAAAACTTCTTTTATTTTGCAATCTTTATGTAAGACCTATGTGTATAGCACACCTATTGATTTATAACATCTTTATTAATCAGGTGGGATATTTAATCCTTACAACAACTCTGCAAGATAGATGGTGTTATCTTCATTTTTTACATTTTCTGAAATTGAAATCTGAGACTAAAGAATTTGTTGTCACATTCGTAGTGGCAAAGCCTGCATTAGAACTTCCTCACCCCAAACTGCATGCTGTTTGTGCTATGCCAAATCTTTTAGAGTGAATTGGTATCATCTATCCACACTGATCTTAAGCCTGTCTAATGAATTTATTTTTTACCCTGGGACTTGCTCACAAACTATAACAATATCTAATATCTTAATATTTACAATATGGCAAACACATGAAGATGAGTGGTACAGAAAACCATCTCTTACCACCAGTTCCAAAATCCAGAAAGCTTTGAAAACTAAAGCTTGTTTCATAAATCATTTGGTAGCAAATTTGACTCGATCTGAATAATTTAATGACAAACCTTACTTAAACTGGCATGGGGTTATTTATAGTCATTTTTATTCCACTTAATGTGAATATTTATCTACATATTTTGTTGCAGAAACACTATTCTGTTTTGTTATCAGATGTTGCCACTTATTCCCCTTGGATATTATGCCATATATGGTATGTTCCTTTTATTATCTTTCTAAAATATAAAAAATTCTGAAACATGTCTTGGATAAATCCCAAGAATGGTCAATATATTGATGGAATGTTTTATTTCAAATACAGCTGTTAAAAACAGAATCTGTCTACACTATCTCAAAATGGCCAGCTTGGTGGGAAAAATAAACCACTTGTGATGTTATATATACCAAAAGCAATTCAGAACTGGCCAAGAGTTAATTATCTGAATTCAGTAGCTTTTAACCAATTGTTAAGAGGATTATTAGCCAAATGATTTATGTTTTGAAACTTGCCTTAAAGTACCCCCAAATAAGGGCACCCCAAATAAAGTACCCCAAATAAGACACTCAGGGGTTAAGCGTCTGACTCTTGATTTTGGCTCAGGTCACAATTTCACAGTTCATGAATTAGAGCCCCACTTCAGGCTCTGCACTGACAGCATGGAGCATGTTTGGGATTCTGTCTCTCCCTCTCTCTGCCCCTCCTCTACTTGCTTGATGGCTATCTCTCTCTCAAAATAAACTTTAAAAAGAAAATCCCCCAAATAAATATTGTTTATAGTATCAATCCCTTTAGCCTTGTATATTAAATAATACAATTATGAGTGCTTAGAGAATTTCAAGTAATAACTTACTTTCATTAAGTACTGTGTTAGAAATTAGTACTAATCAATGATAGGAAATTAACATTTTTCTTTATAGGCATGATCACCGATCTTTTCATAGATAAGTTCAAGTTCAAAGGCACCAATGTAAAAACCAAAGTACCTCTTTTACTGGAGATTCTGGACAGTTATGATCAAAATGCATTGATTGCTTTCTTTGAGGCTGCATGAAATATATAAACAAGGTAAAGTTCCAGAGTTGTCTTTTTAAACAAAGTATGTTAAAACAGAAATACAGGACATGCTAACTGTACACACTTTTATTTCAAATGATTTTTAATATCATCTAAAAATATTTAAGATGTGACTTCTTTTAGTAGTGCTTCTATTTTGAGAAATGGAGCTTTTTAAAAATAAAGGAATTTTTATTTTAAAACAAGTGGAATGATTATAAGGGACGTTAATGAATTTTTTGCAAGTGGATGTTTTAACTTTTAAATTGAGAAATATTTGGAAAATAAAAATCTATTCAAATATATAACAAGCTACACACATGTATAAATTGCTTTAAAGTTTTCAAAATGTATTTACATACATTACTTCATCTGATCTTCACAATACATATTATTTTGTCAGGTCTATAAGAAAACCAATTCTCTGTGAGGTTAAGTGATAAAGAGGACATGCTGTTATTTGTAAAACTGGGACCAGATTTCAAGTTATGTTGCCTGGCTTGTGTCCTGGTTACTGTATACGTTGTTAACTAGTGGAAGTAACTTACCAATTATTTTTTCTAGGAGTTGAGATTGATTTGCAACTGATTTCACTTTTGCTAGGTAATGTTTTTATGACCCATGCTCAGTTTGTGAAATGCTTGAGTTGCCCCAGTGCTATAAATAGTGGCCAGGGAAATGAGCAGAGCTTGCACAGATTGAAGGGATCTTAATTTGATGTCCTGTAACCAGTAGAGCTGTACAAATGTACTATATGTGAATAGTGCAGAAATAGTGATGGCTTCTTAGATTTTCCTGTACTAGGATCCACTGATTACCTTTTTATCATATATGGAGGGAAATATGACTTTAAGGTTACAGAATACAGAAGTTTTATTAATCTTAATTTACATTTTGTCATATTCAGGGAAATATTGTATTTAAAGGTTGTTTTAAAATGGCATAAAGATTATAATGGAGATAAGCTATTTGTTTTCAAGAAGGGCACATTCATGAATTTGTCAGAAAACAGTAATGCTTCTTAATCATATATCATTATATTTATTATATGCAAGCCTTGTATATTAAATTTGAAAATTTGTTAAAGTCACATATCACTGAGAGTTTTCTTTTAATAAGGTCATATTTTTATTATATTTAACCTTCATTTCTAAATGGAACAAATAATTATATCAAGGTCACTAGAATTTCACTGGTGCTTTTTGTTGGCTGCCACAGCTTGGCAAAATATTCATCAAAATCAGTGACTGTCTAGTTGAATTTCTTGTAGAACATTACTATTTTTTTATATATATGTTATATATATGATGTATCATATATATGTATCATATATGATGTATATATGTATATATGATGCGTATCATATATATATTATATAGATATCAACAGTTCAAAGTGGCACCTTACTTAATTGCATCTTCATTAGGTAAATTAAAAAGCATGACTGAAGAAACACCTAAATGGTAAGATATTATAGTCTACCACTTGAGTGTCAGTTATTACGTTAGCAGCGGGTAAATGATTTATGCTCATTATATAATCATGAGAGCCGTATGACATGTAGACATTACTCCCAATTAACAGATAAGAAAACTGAGGATCAGAGACATTAAATAACTGGTCCACGACTACCAGGCCAGTAAGTGGCTGGGTCCGATTTTGGACTTTGGGAAACCAGGCAGGCTAACTGAAGGTTCCACAGCTAACGACTGGGGTGGCTCACTAATAACTGCTTAAGTTTAACTCAGTTTATCCAAGAGGCAGCCCTAGCCCAGAGCCCAGGGATCACCTAGTGGCCCAGTTTAAAGTCACCAGAAACTCGGGACCCGCCTCTTCGCTCGGCGCAGGCGTTTTCCCTCCCGCCGCCGTTCGGCGTTTCTCCGCCTCTGTTCCGTGGCCTTCGCGGCCGCCTTCATTCGCCTGCGACTGTGTCGCCCAGAGTGACGTCACGGGCGTCGGCCCTTTCCATTGGCTCATTTCAATAGTCGCGGGATACTTGAACTGCATGAACAGCCGCCGCTCCGGCGGGCTGCTCGCGACATCTCGGGGGCGTCTTTAGCCCTCCACGCCCGGCAGTTCCTGCCTACGCCTTTCTCAACTTACTTGGAACTCCGTGATCTCAAGCGGGCAGGCTGGCCCGGGCTGCGGCGGATTGCTACGGCTGGAGCGTTTCTTGTTGGGGTCGGCGGGACGGAGTACACGCCGCTAGGCGCCCCAGGCTGATTCCGCCGCGACCCCGGGAGCAGTGATGTTGGGCAGCTCCGCGCCGGGGCCTGCGTCCCGCGAGGCGGGCTCGGCGCTGCTGGCATTGCAGCATACGGAGCTCCAAGAGGACCAGGAGAACATCAACCCTGAGAAGGTGGCGCCCACCCAGCAGCCCCGCACTCGTGCCGGGCTGGCCGTACTCAAGGCTGGGAATCCACGCGTTCCAGCACCGCAGCAGAGGCCCAAGACACGACGGGTAAAGAGATGAGCGGTATCTGCAGGAGGGTGGGCCGAGCGGGAGTTTTGCACGAGGTTTAGCAGGCCGAGGAGCGTGGCAAGAAAGCATCTTCCGAGCTTTTTTAAAGGGAGCCCTGGGTCTTGAGTCACCTTGATCCCTAGTTTTCTGGCGTGTGGGATGCCACTTAATAGCTTCTCCCCCATTGCTCTCTTCGCCAGCTGTTATGTTGCCTGTCTGCTGTTTATTGGGGATGTTTTTCTATAGATAATGGGGGTCAAACCAAACCCTAATCAAGTCCTACGTGTGTCCGCGCTTTTCTCGCCGCTTTAAACCCCAGGCCCTGCCCTAGTATCTGGACCTTCTTCCCCTCTCCAAATGGTTAAGATTACCTCAACTTTAAGAAAGGGTATAAAAAATACTTTGCTTTTAGTAAATTCCGCCATTTTGCCGCATTTGCTCGGTTGCTCCACCCTTGGGCGAAAGTAGTGAACCGACACTTCTTTGCCGGCTCTCCTAAACTTGTCATTTCTCAGCCTGCCCCTCCACCCATCTTGTGGCCTTGATTAGTTTTGTATCTTCCACTTAGTGTGACTCTTTTTTATAACTTATGTAGGAATGCCTGTAACGAATTTGAACATCCCTTTCTTCGGCCACTCAAAGTTTACCGCATGGACTTTGCCCCAGTTTAATTTTCTGAGTATTTGGGAGTAAAAAGCAGACACTGAGACCCATAAGGGGAAGAAACCAAAACTCCATTCAACAGGCTCAAAGCCAAATATTTATTTCTTTTTAGGTTGCACCTCTTAAGGATCTTCCTATAAATGATGAGCATGTCACTGTTCCTCCCTGGAAAGCAAACAGTAAACAGCCTGCATTTACCATTCATGTGGATGAAGCAGAAGAAGAGACTCAAAAGAGGCCAGCTGAACCTAAAAAAACGGAACATGAAAATGTCCTGGCTTTTAATTCAGCCATTACTTTATCTGGACCAAGAAAACCACTGGTACCTCTTGATTATCCAATGGATGGTAGTTTTGGTAAGTTTTAAAGAACATCTGTATCAAATCAATGTAATCGTAATTATTAAATACACTGGGGGAGCCTGGTTGGCTCACTGGATTGAACTTTTGACCCTTGATTTCGGCTCAGGCCATGATTCCAGGGTTGTGGCATCAAGTCCCACACCGGGCTCCCTGCTGAGCACGGAGCCTGCTTGAGATCCTTTCTCTCTGCCCCTCTCCCCGGGTCACTCCCGCACTCTAAAACAATAAATAATAATAATAATCTTTCTTTAAAAAACTAAAAAATAGGCTGCATTAATGCTATTTTGTACTTTAAGACATTTTACTTGATCCTTAGCACATTTATGAACTTGGTTTAATGTAACAAAATTTAGAAAGAGTGTGACTCATCTCAGATTTCACAGCTAATATGCTGACCTAGTGATCTATAAATCCTAATTGGGTATTCCTCCCTTCCCGTATACTGCCAGTCACATCAATTTAATTAGACCTGAAACACTTTAGTCTGACCCTGGAAATGTTTGCTTGCTTCCAGAGAATAGATTTCAGTTGTATTCATAAGACTCACTTTGTACATACCACTCAGTATTTGAAAAGGATGCAGCTTTCAATATTGTGATATCTAACATCTCTTACAGCTTTAAGGTAACATTTATTTTTGAGAGAGAGAGAGACAGCATGAGCAGGGAAGGGGCAGAGAAGGGGAGACTCCGAAGCAGCCTCAGGCTCTGAGCTGTCAGCACTGAGCCTGATGCAGGGCTTGAACGAATGGCGAGATCATAACCTGAACTGAAGTCGGATGCTTAACTAACTGACCCACCCAGGCACCTGTCTGTTATAGCTTTAAAATTTTGTTTCTGTAAATCCAGTCTGATACCAGAGAGGGACATTATTCTACTGTAAGTCCAGCATTGAACCATGGCTTTGCACTTAACCACAGAAAAATAAAAGTAGCTGCTATAAAGACAGCTCTGCCAACAGTTTATGCAACTTCTTTACCATAGGTCTGCTGAGTCACTGGGCAACTCATTAAGTTTAGTCTCTAGTTCTACTGTGAGAAGTGGTCTAGAAATTGCAGGAAAAGCCTTTGGAAATAAAGTAATGTTTGTATTTTTATTTAAAATTTGCCACAAATTTTAACCTCAAAGTGAACCCTGAAGTGAAAAGAATAATTAATGATATTCTTTGCCTTAAAAGATAATTTAAAGTTAGACATGAATTACTTGTTGATTGTAGTGTTAAATTGTTTGAATTGCTTGTAACAAACCTCATTTTCTCATTCATATACTCATAGAAGCACTGCTTAGTTATTGCCTAGATTGTACTTTGAATATGTAGACTTTGGGGTCTGCAAACTCTCAGGATAAATACTACATAATATCTCCAGACTTTTTTGGATTTTAACTCAGTCCTAACAGAATCACTGTGCCATCTGCTCTTATTTCTCATGCAATATGAATATTAACATAGTACTTGATCTTCAAACTCATTTTCCTTTTAGTGGCCTATTAGTATTTTTTCTTATTGATTAAAACCAAGTGGAGAGAGGTACTAAAACCACAGTGACTATTCTTTGTACTTTTTCATGAACAGCCCTTTTTAGTTGGATGAAATAAATGCTTTCATATGGGACTCCTTACAAGGGCAGTTTTGGCTATTAAATTAATTAGAAAATTAAACAATGAACTTAATCATACTTCTGTATTCTCCCAGAGTCACCACATACTATGGACATATCAATTGTATTAGATGATGAAAAGCCAATGAGTGTCAATGAAGTCCCAGACTACCATGAGGACATTCACACATACCTTAGGGAAATGGAGGTAACAGCTCTCTGAATCCAATTTTTATACGGTTTTACTCATTGTGGCAAAATGAAACTGAGAGGATGTTTTTAAGTTCCTTAACTGGTGGTGAATTAGTCTAATGTTATACTGATGTTTCTGGTATGTGGCATCTTTGTTAATGGTAGAATAATCTAATTGTAATTTTAACATTATACTAAGTAACTTTCTCAACAGGTTAAATGTAAGCCTAAAGTGGGTTACATGAAGAAACAGCCAGACATCACTAACAGTATGAGGGCTATCCTTGTGGACTGGTTAGTTGAAGTAGGAGAAGAATATAAACTACAGAATGAGACCCTGCATTTGGCTGTGAACTACATTGATAGGTTCCTTTCATCGATGTCTGTGTTGAGAGGAAAACTTCAGCTTGTGGGCACTGCTGCTATGCTGTTAGCCTCGTAAGTCCAACTTGGTTTGTTGGATTAAGTGATTGGTACCTTTCTGTGTAAGGAAGAGGTTGTGATTTTTAACACTGACATTTTAATATACACAAGGCAGAGTTGGAAACTACTTTAGGGGTAGCAGCATGAAACAGTGTGGAAACTAGTTGAGGATATTAATTTTCCCAGATCTAGATTCCAGGGTACCTTAAAGATGGAGACTGGCTACTTTTTAATACACTTGGACTAGATTACCAAATTTAAAAAAGTGTGGTTCCTTCCATCAAAAAGTGCTTTCTGGCATAAAATCATATCTTCTTAAGACATGGAAATTAAATTTAAAAACTAAAAATGTTTATTTTTCTAAGAATTTCCTAAATTTTCATTTACTTGAACTCTGGCATTGTTACCATCTTGGGAACTCTTAGGCCTCTTATTTGACTGCATTGGGACAGATATCCCATGAGTCCTGTATTGATTTGGGTCTTTCAGTTAGCATCTATCTAGTCTCTGCTGGTAATGGTCAAAATCAGTGGAAACAGGCAACTGGTGGAGTGTAGGTTTGGGACTCATTCCATGTATTCTGCTAAAGGGACTTCAGAATTAGATAAACAGCTTGCTTCTCTTTTGGAAAGACTGATTACTTAAAACTTCTTTCATTGTAGAAAGTTTGAAGAAATATACCCCCCAGAAGTAGCAGAGTTTGTGTACATTACAGATGATACCTATACCAAGAAACAAGTCCTGAGAATGGAGCATCTAGTTTTGAAAGTGCTTGCTTTTGACCTAGCTGCACCAACAGTAAATCAGTTTCTTACCCAATACTTTCTGCATCAGCAGTCTGCCAACTGCAAAGTTGAAAGTTTAGCAATGGTAAGTTCTTTTCATTTTGTTGAATGAAGATTCTTAGGTCAGTTTAATTACATAGCTTTGGTCAAGGGATTTAGTATTTAGGGGACAAATTAATGCTATAGTATAAAGAGAACCTACCATTGGTGAAAGGTAACATGAATTGGGAAAGTAACTAGGAGTAGTGGAATGAGGATTGAGTCTTGGGAAATGGTAGCCAGAAGAGTTTTAAAAATTATTAAAAGAGGAAAAAATACAGGATGAATGAAGATGGAGCAAAACACTAAGATAATGGATAAGGGCTGTGACAATTTTTTTTTTCCTATGGTTGCCATAGAGCCAGTCTTCAAAACAGGAAAATATTAGGAC